CCAACCAAATCAAGCCCACGTCTCTTTTAAAATTCAAGCACGGAAAAGACTGCTCTGAGATATGGTAAGATCAGCAAATTCAACCAGGCAGGATATAAAATAAGCACACCAGAAGATGATATAAGCACACTGGAGGAATAACAACAGGATTCCACTGTTCTACCAGCTCCTTCAGTATTTTGATTCATCATCACTCATTTGGTTCCTAAATATTAATTAGTGTTACAACACAGTCATGAAGTGAAGGATCAGGGGATGATTTTATGTTATTTTATTTTGGGCTGCTGGGATCACCACTGTGGTAGATATTTTCAGTAGCAAACATTTTCAAAAAAAGGGAGATGGGGGAGTAAATGTTTTCTTTGGCTGACATTTCTGGAGGAACAGACACTAGGCCAGCAAAAGAGATTATGTAGGTGGGGATAGTATAGAAGATTAGAAATAAGGAAGACTTTTGCTTTTAGGTCTCTCATTGCCTTACGGTGCTTTCCAAGCAACCCTTCCCAAACAATTCCTTTCAACCTTTCTCTTTGTTGAAGGACATCCCATATTTAGTTTCATTTCCATTAGGTTTGCTGTGAAATTTATGTATATAGAAACATACAGACAGAAGTAGGTACAGAACTGGGGCAGGTGAAACATTCTGTCAGGGCAATGAGCCAGTCAGATTCTAGGAAGGACACAGAAGCCATGGCAGCTGTCCCTAGAGGCACGAATTGGACTCCCTTTCCCCTTACATCTGAATAATCCAAGTACTATCATTAAGACCTTGTGCACTTTATCCTCAAATACGACCTGTGGTCCAGCAATCCCGATGGCAGCCTTGCTTGGATCGTGGCTGCTCACAAATTACTTGTGCTCAAATGGACAGGGAACTTTTATTGCCCTTCTCAGCAATCCAATGTCCATGAGTAATTAATGTTTACTGGGGAGCAAGCAGGCTGCTGCCACACATGCAGGGCACTTCTACTCAGCCCATGTAGGTCAGTGCAGAGGCCTGCCATGATTATTGCTGAATACTGGGGGAAGGCGGTGGGAATCAGAAAAAGGGCTTAGGGTTCCTTCCATTAAAGTATTCTGTGGAATCTAATTTTTGCTTCATAGCAGATCAGAATTCCAAGGTACCTTATGTGTTAGTTTCCTTGTCATCATAAAGACAACCTAGACTATATTGCAGCCTGAATCATCTCTATTCTGTTGTCCAAACAAAGTGTGGAAGGGAATCGATAAGCATCTTGTTCTCTCCAGCAGGCTCTCTGTCACATGGCCGTTGTGAGGTCTCACATTCATTGTGAGGTCACTCATAAAACTGGCCACAGAACAGGGCGCCTGCTGGAGTGGAAGGGGCACTTACACAATTCCCTCCTGCATTTAGGCAGCAGGACACTAGCCATTTTCTTTAGAATATACTTACAATGAGGTAAGACTACATGTGTAATTTTTGAATTAGCATATGAATTAAGTGGAGCCTGGACTGGTCCAAAGCAACCATCTCTTTTCTTACAGGAGAAGACAAAAGTACGTGTATATCAAGTGGATAAGAAAGAAACACACCCCATACTCTGCTTTCTGCAGTATGAGATGCAGTTGTCATTCTTCCAGCAAGTTATCTGCATTCAATTACTTTCTCAAGGCTGAAACTTTGCAGCAGAAAATGTATACTTCTTGTCACCCATCTGCACAAACTCAGGGTGGACTACACTGGATTTCATTCACATTCTGTTTGAAACCACAGTCACTGATCACACAAGGGCTGTGGACTGATTTAGGAGTTCACTGTTCAGACCAGATGTGATTCACATTCCAGCCCACAAGTCCCTTCTGTACTTCCATCCATGGTCCTGCCTCTGCCAATCTTTTCTTCCTCCCATCCCACCTCTGTTGATTTGATGGGAAACTGATGGGGGCATAAATACAGGAAATAATAAGAACAATGACCCAGTGATAATCTCATACATGAAAGATTTTAAAAAGAAATTTAAAAAAAACCAGAGGACGATCAGGGGAGAGAAAAGAATGCAGGGGCATGTTCCCCCAGTCCTGGACATCACACGTCAACTGCCTACATTACTGAAACACCACCTAGAGACATTCTTTACAAGAATGTATTGCAACTAATCACATAGGAAAAAGCTTGTTTGAATTGTTCCTGCTTGAAAAAAGTAGAATTCCCCCAATGGCAAAGAAAGAAAGCTGCTTTGGAATCAAAAAGAGCTGGACTGATTTGAATCAGCCTTTCTGTCATTTGGTCAGTAGAAAACACTTCAAATTCATCTGTTTTATAAGCAGAGCAAAACATGAGATATTTGACCATATAGTCACAACTAATTTAAAACCATATGTGACAAGAAATGAGGCAATTCCTGCACGAGTTACTTGAAAGTAAGGGAAAAGAGTAATGGATGAGAGTGTTGTTGATGATCCCTGTTTTGCAATCATTCTGATGTGTGAATTTTAATACATTTTGCCAAATCACTCTTAAATATTTTAATGTCCTTTAGACTGTTAAGTACCTTTCCATGTTATTTTTCTATAGGAGTTTTTGAAAGATGTAGTAGTCTGGAGCTTTAAATAAGAAAGCAGCTTCAGTGCAAATCATTAAAGGATCAGCGGAGGTGGGACCAGAGGAAGGCAGCGAGGGAGGGAAGGAGGAAGGCTGATGGTTGACTGGCTGGCAGGCACGCAACTTGCATTGGTGAATTCCCAATTCAATCCACAGTCCCTGTGTGAGCACTGATTGTGATTTTAGACATAATGCAGTGCTCCGATGTAATCACACCTTTAGCCACACCTAAGGATACATTTATTGTTTTTTTTAAAAATGAGTATGTATGGCCTAAATGGCAAGAAAGCTAAGATTATTTGCTGATCCTTACCATCATACACGATTAGTGAATGGTCACAGAAGAATCCACACACTTTTAAAGCAATGCAGTCCTACCCTCACAGGATGAGAAGATACCAGGATAATAAGGTATTATTATGGTACAACATCTACCACTCTCTATCTAAATTCCCTGTAGGTACAGTGGTTCCTCATGGCTGCAGAGATTATAAGGAGAACAGAGATCTCCCCCTCCCACTGGAGTTTTCCAGCACCTGTCAATCCCAGAAGTAATTTCCACTTCCAGTCACTCGTAGAAATACAGGTGACCTCTAGCTGTGGATAACTGCCTTCATGACAAACCCTTCTTACCTGAACTGCTGCAACGCAGTCACTAAAATAAAGCGCCCCGTTGCCAGGTGCACAAATTTTCTTATTTCTATAAGAATTAAGGACCTTTCAATGTGATACAGGTATTGAGGCCAACAATAGCTTGGGCAGCAGCATGCCGCTTCAGAGAGTCACAAGAAGAGGCACGTAGGGGAGAAAGTTAAGTTTTCTGGCTCTAGGTTTGGTTGCTACCCCAGCCGAGAGCAGGAGCTTCTTTTTCAGTTGAGCCCAAACTCTTCTCCTTCTCCACATCACTACAAATAATAATTCTGAAAGGGTGGACTGGCTGGTGGTATGTCCTTTCCTCACTTTCCATATTTATTGCACGGGCAACAAAGCTGGGATTTTTGTCATTTGGGAAAGCAAGGGGGGAAAAAGCTTTAGTTCAACAGCAGAGCATGTTTTGAAGAGGAGGTGCACTTCAGTGATAAAAGGACATGCTGAATATCATGATGGGCCTCGAGTCAACCCTTGGCCTGCCTGAAACTCTGGATAGTTAGCAATATTTAGTTAGATGGGCCAATAGTCTGACAACTAGATATAAAGAGAGCTTCTGGAGTTCCAATAGAAAAAGCAGAAACTGCTACATCACAGCAATGGTCTGAGCAGGCACCCTTGCCAGGCAGTAACGTTTATTCTAAAGGGCAGCTACATTGCCGGTGAAGTGTCACCTGAGACCCTTCAGCGGAATGAAGCTGCCTGCTTGCTTCAAGAGATGCTATGACAGAGAACAAAACAGGTGAGGGTGAAGACAGAAACATACACCTCAATGATGCACTGAGACTTTTAAAGTGACTTTTTAAAAGTGTGTGGACTGCCAGCAACAGGAGAGCATTTGGGCTCCGGTTCCAGAATGGACACATCTCGGTTGCCCTTGAAGTTATAATGGAAATTGCAATCTACAATGTAGAAGTTGTTGGATGGGAGGCTCCCCAATCTGGGAACCTTGTAAATGTTCTCCAGTGAATATACAGTGCCTAAAGCATCCCAGCATCCAGATTTTTTGGAGGACAAGCTGTCTGGACAGCTCAGCGAGTTAGGTACCTGGCTACAGAGCCAGTGCTTGGGAGTTCCCCATTGTGCATCCCAGAAGAGGCAGAGTGTGCGGCCTTGAGCTAGCTGCACAGTCCCAGGTTTCCCCCAGAAGGAAACAGTAAACTACTTCTGAATGTACTCTGTACCTAGAATACCCTGGAAAGGCTTGCCATAAGTCAGAACTGACTTGACAGCACACAAATATTATAGGTAAAAATCAGGATTGGCACCTTCCCTGCAGATATTGAAAGCCTGAATACGGCTAACTAAATATGCATGTTCTAATGTTGGACAAGTAAGAGTGTGAAGGCACATGGGTTACTCTGAGCATGGGGCTTTCGAGACAAAGAAATGCTGCTTTAGTTATCACAGGGGGTGTCGGGGAAACCCAAGCTCAAGATTCAGGCTCAGAAGGAAAGCAGATGCCCTACACTTCCAAAGAGCTGGGTTCAAGCCCTAGTCTCTCTCTGGTTAAAAGCAGCCAGAGAGATGAAGGGTGTCAAGGAAGGGAAAGCTGGAAGCCACTGCCAGACCAGGAGACAGAATCCGATGTCAAGCCAACGGGCTCTACAATATGCTACTTGGAATCTCTCCAGTCATCAGAAGCCTCAAACTTGCAATGATCTCCGCGTTTATAAAACAACAGAGAGGGATTAGATAGGTGAGTCAATGAACGCCCCCCCTACTCAGGAGGCCCCTTCCCTCCACCCCGCAACCACGATCAGGCGCCTCTGCCTCGGCTTCAGACCACCTGCTGCCGCTGGCTCTGGTTGCCCGCCGCGGCGCCGCCGTCGGGCTCGCTGCTCCGCAGGACGCTGATGTGCAAGGTCAACAGGAGGAGTCCCAGCAAGAGCAGCAGCTCGGCCGCCAGGCGCACCATCCTCTTGCAACGGGCGGCTTTAGGGCTCCGCGGCGACGGGGCAGCAGCAGCAGCAGCAGGAGGAGGAGCCGCCGTCCCGGCCGCGGGTTCAGCTTCTAGCGGGGCGAGCGTGGGATTTCCCGCGCCGCTCTCAGGATCCGCCGGGCCGCCCGAAGAGGAGGAGCGGGGGCAGCCAGCGCTGCCGTCGCCGCCGCCGCCGCTG